TAAATAAATAATGTCTCAATACTTGTTGTTTCAGCTGTGTACCAGATCGTAATGGCCCACAAATTCAGAAAACTAGCATCAACTCCTTATTAACAATCAGTGAACACAAAATCGTGAACCAGTCCGCTACGGTGCAGGTAAGCCTTATTGAAGTTCCAAGTGAATAATTTTGTGTATTTGGTGATATTTTCAAATATGAATTCTTTAGTCTATAATCGCTCCTATCAAGCACATTGTGAACGCAGCTGGAGAATTCGCAAAGTGCATCAAAGACTGCTTCTTGGCGAAAAACTCGAACGGATACTGTTTTGATAGAAAGGAGTAAGTTTTTCTGTTGGATCTGGGCATTTTCTATTGATTGTTCTCGGAAATGTGTAATCCCTCTTCCGTTGCCTTCCCATGACATAGTTTTCCTCAAGCTTTGCTGAATAGTTTTTCTGCATTTTATTACCTACCGGGTGAGCCATGCTGCTGAACTATCATGGTTCATGATCTTTTTTGATAAGTCTTGCAGAGCACTTTGGGGGTTAGTGATGCGCGCGGTTGCGAAGCAGCTTAATTGCCATCGTCATCGGTCAATGCTTCAATTCGTTCTGAGTGGCTGTGGTAGCGAGTGGCTTTTTCTGGATTGCCTCTGTAGCCCACGTTGTTAGTTGAACCCCTGTAGATTACGCGCTGTTCATCTCTGAGCAAAGCTGAGAACTCAAACGAGGAGCTTCGAATTAACCTTGGCCTCACTACAGTAACCAGACTCACCTTTGTATTGTGTTTTGTGTCTTGAGTGATCGATTCGGTGATTCGATGAGTAGAACTCGTTTCGATGGGGTCGTCGGAGCGCGAGCGCTTCATCGCCATTGACAAGGTGTGCGTCCTTCACGCGATAATCTTTGCGTGTTTCCAAGTAAATAACAACGTCATCCCTATACAATGGACTATATTTTAACCCGTTTTTTGATCGTTGAAAAGTTCATAGACCGATGTAGTAGTCGATGACTTTTAAGCTGACTGTACGATACATACTTTCAACGTTCCTGAGGGCTGCTCCAAATGATCACAATTCCTTCGACATGGAGCACTGGTTGGTCTAGGGTGATATGGAGCTTGGCTATTAATTTTCTTACAGACAAATCATGGAGACATCAGAAATTTGCTGCTTCTGGTCTCCTAAAAAGAGTGCTTTGAGCTTTGAAATCAATGCGTAAAAAATCAACGTCCTCCTTTGAATTGAGGGACCAGTAAGTGTTGAGTGAGGAAGGGGCAGGCGACATGAGCGTCCACCTGGAAAGGGGCCGATAGGTTCAAGACAAAAAAGGGAAACGAAATATTTCAAAAGAGTTTGTCTTTAATAAAACCTCATTTTTATATGGCCTTATTTCATTGATCAAAGTTCAGTTGCCAACCACTAGTGGCTGAGAACAAAGCGAAAGCATCGTTCCGTACATGCACAAGAAGAATGAACTGGAAACGTGAAGCTGGAGAGTTCTGCGATTGCTCTGTGAATGCTGGCGTGGAGTAAGTCGTATTCCTATTCAAAGATAAATTTAAAAAGCTTCCACAAGAGTTTTGTTGTGCGTCGAATTGCGCCATGCTCCTAGTTATTGCTGATATTTGCAAACTTTCTGAATATGGATTACGCCTTTATCAAATGTCCACCACTCTTTGTGAAAAAAGAGAAGGACTTTACCATATAGGCGTTAACCGATCTATCAGGTCCTGACTATAACGGCACCGCTAATCACTAAACTATATGTACATCCTACTTTCCTAAAGTTGTACTGTGTACCTCGCTTATAGAACGGCAAGCCCTATGGTGGACGTAAGAGCACTTTTGTCTTCCCAGATGATTAGGCCTATCTGGCCGTCCGCGTATGACTAGAAAGTCAGGCTGGTCTGAGAGAATCTGATGGCCTGCCCATGTTTTCGCTAGGGCCGCCTCTCGTGCTTACCCCTCACTACTCCTCGCACATCTGTAGGGATCTGCTGATTTTTATTGATTGGCGCGACTAATCAATTGTTTGTTCCAGTGATTTGAAGCAATACTGCTCGATGTTCCATCTTATGAGCAAAAAGAGTGGAGGACGAAGAAGATCTTAACTTGCCGCAAATGGGACTGTTCATCGAAACAGTGGAATTTTCATTT